CGTTGATGGATGATGTGGCGCCGTGTCGAGGGGCCTCAATCAGAGGAGCGGGGGTTTCACTGTGGAGAGCAATCTCAAAGCCAATTCCACTGATAGCCATCGCAGGGTGTTGCAGCATGACGTCGCACCTGTTGAACAGGAGCCAGAGCGAGCGCAGACAGTACGGAAGAGGGGAAAACTTTCTTTACTCCTGGTGTTATCGAGGGGGATCAATGGAAAAATGTATCAGTCTGGAGTTTGGCCACGTTGGCGCCCGCGTAACGCGGAGAGCGCTCAGTGTGCAGGAGACGCACCGTCGAGGGCACTCTGAGCGGGGGCTTCGTTTTACTCTCGGTGGTCATGTTTTCACTCGCAGGGGAAATGCTCACGCAGATTCTGCTGGCGAATGAAGGAATAAACCAGCGACAGCTCGGGTGTGATTCCCTGAGCCCCTCGTCATTGTCTGGCGACGTGTGCTGGAGGAGAAGCCTTCAAGCTGCCCGCGGGGCGAGATTTACAAAGGCTGTGATTTGCTAATCTGAAACCGTTGAATTATTCACAACTCTCCCATTTCATCATCATGATGTTGTCAGTGTATCTGACTCCCTGCATTGGAGGTACGAGTGTGAAACAAAGTCCGGAAAGCCTTTGTTTGGTCTCTTGCTTTGCGCCAGTTGATGGGCTGTCAAGCCATGAAGTGCAGGCCGACTCGCCATGACCCTTTCCCGCCTTCACGGTCCAATTAAAATATTCTGGGTCAGTCGATTTGTGTGTGGGAGTGGATGTAAGTACTTCATTGTGTTGTTGGTAGAATAAAGAGGAAATACGGTTCAGAAAGTGGTGGAGTTTCAGCATGTTCATCTGCAAAAAAATATAAGTCTAAATGAGTTGTTTTCAACATGCAACGATTGGTATTGATAAGGTTAAAGGAGCACAGTGTACAAGCTGTCATTAAGGTTCCAGTAGGGTAATCAATCAGTTTTGCTGTGGGTGTATCTGGACTTCAAACAGTATGAATCCTTGTGATATTTCTCAATACTTGTATTTGCTTTAGCCTCGGTTGGTGGCTGGATGCACATCGATTCAGACGCTCAATAGTGGGCTGCGAGCCGCCAGCGCTTCATTATTGAGAGCAGAGACTCTCTGCGGACGTCAGCTTCAGGAGGGAAGATGCAAGAGACAACAGACGGGCAGACTGTAAAGACTTAAATAAAACGAAACCAGGACGGACGCACACACCTTATGTTTGAGCCCCCCCCTCCCCTCTACTGCAGCACAGACAGCAGAGCCCCATAAATCTGCAGAATAACAGAAGGAACTGAAGGCACGATTGTTATTTACAAGACAGATGTTTTCTCCTGCACTCAGGTAAACAGTCCCCGGCACACAACACACACACACACACACACGTTGAGAGAGAAGCCCAAATACACACACACAGACGCAACACATTCTGAATAACTATCCGGCTAACAGAGTGGTGACAGTGAAGCGAGGCCGGGATGAGTGTGGATCAATTGGGTGGGAGAGAAACGTACGCAGGGGGACAAAATGTACAGCCCGAGACGAGCAGATGGAGAAACGGATCCCGCTGCTGAGGTGTTCCTCACAGGGCTGTACTTCAAACACGCGTCCCCGTCCTCTTCAGGTGTTTGTGGAGACGTGGGCTTTGACTGATTTTGAAAGCGAAACGGGTCTGTGGTTTGTTACGCCTTTTAAAACCATCGGCGCGTTTCCACTTGCTCTACTTACTTGGAGCACATCTAAGAAGTGGGGGCCATTGAGAACAAAGTGTGTCCACTCGGTGGAAGGGATTTGATGGAGCAGGATGCCCGACTTAATAAAACAGCTTTTGTGACTAAATGAAAAAATATCAGTCTGTCGCCAAACTATGTTTTATTTGTCTAAGTGAGAAGTATTACGGAAGTCCAGTGACAGCTGTAGCTCTCACTTCGCTCTGACAGCAAGGCTCTTTTTTATTTTGAGGAGAAACACCTTCCAGCCACGATAAAGGGCCAGAGGAGGGACTGGAATGAGGGATGGAGGTGGAAGAAATAGATCAAAAGCAAAAACACGTGGCAGCCGAGGGAGCGAGAGAGACGCGCCAGGGTGGAAATTGAAGGAGGGCAAACGTAAAGGGAGACGATTAAAGAAGAGGAACGTGAAACTGACAAACAGGATCATCAGCGCCCAACAATGGAGTGGGTTATGAGAAGATGAAAGGCAGCAGGTAAAGAAACGGGAAGCAGGCTAAGGAGGCACGCTGAGTGTTCAGAGGCCTCTGTCCTGCTCGGAGCGCTCCTGAATTATTCATGGCTGCACCGCAGAGAGTGAAAAGACGAGACTTCCAACTTCGAATCTGCAAACGGTGCAGCTGCGTTCAGTCAGAAGAATCCCAGATCCCCAAAGCACATGACATCAAAAAAAACAATAAATGTTACGCTTGAAACAATATGGCTCCTCTCGGTCCTCCTGTCGGTGCTGCACGTGGTGGCCGGGAGGCAACGGAGGCGAGAGCAGACATGGACAGGTCGTGCTTGGCGAGCTGATCACTTTGTCGGACGCGCGTTCTAACGTTTGTGTCTCTCTCGTGGCTCTAACAACCAGGCCAGTCACTTATTGTGTCTCTGAATGTCCTTGAAGAAGTCAAACCAGGGCTGTGTCTAGAATCGCCTCCCTTGTCCTTCTTTACACCACTCAGCAGCAGATTGACATTTTGCCCACTCACAAATGATCATAATCTGACTTATTACCCTAAAGCTATAATGGCGCACCCTTAATGTGGTGCATTGTGGTATTGGTCAAAGAAAGCAGTCAATTTGTATCCGTTGCAGGGATTGTTGAGGGCAGCATATCATTGAAAGCAGTGTTGGTAGACTAGTGCACAATGTAGTAAACGGGGACTCTGATCGACTGGCAGCTCCCTGCAAAGTACTCTGCACAGACGTGTGAAGGAAACAAGTCAGAGCACAGCAGGGAGCGGCTCTTTATCACTTCCACAGGAGCAGCAACAGCTTCCGCAGATATTTGAGCGACCAAAGTAACGCACCGAGGTGAGGACTGACCCCATGAAGGAATGGAGGGAAGATGAATGAACATCACTGAAGCGGCGGCACGCAGCTCTGCTTTGTGTCTTTGTGTCTCTCTCCGTGGTGCTGAAGCAGCAAAAAAAACCCTTTGTAATTCCAATTAGTTAATTTGTACATGTTGACATTTTACAGTATTTCTCTGTAATAGTAACATATTCCCAGTCCCTCCATTGCAGCTGGGGGTGGGGGGACTCTACCTTTATTATTGAAGCTTTTATGAGCATTTCTATCCTGACTGCCTATTTATTTATGTTTACTAGATTCATCGCTCTACTCTTCTGGCCTCCTTCCTCTTTCCTAAACAGCTGCTGTGCATCCACACTGATAAAATGCTCTCCAATGAACAACGGTGCCAATTGAGTCTGTTAGGAGAAGCTTTTTCAAGGGAAAGAAACCCCCGGAATGTCTGCCGGGTAATACTCTATTACTATCCAAGTCATTTGTTGACTAAATACAGTCAACTTAGTGGCGTGTTTGAGGACTTAAAGGGGATGTGTGAAACGGAGATTAAGAGATACAAAGTGAAGCAGAACATTACTTTTCAGTCAGCGATTATCCAGATATGAAATAGCTAGTGGGAGAATCCACATTGTACATATCAGTAAAGAGGACATGAAGCCGATTTAAAAGAAATCAACATGTCCGCGGGGAACTGGATCCGAAATGTCTTTTTTTGACACCTTCCAAGTAGGGAAAATATCCGTCTCCTTTCTTACAGTAGACTTTCGTCATCAAAGTGTCAGGGAATGGAGGTTAAATGGCGTCTGCAGGCCTCCCCTGACAGGCCTGCTCGTTTCCACCTGGTAATAATTCAAAATCATCACACGTCCAGGAACCCCCCCCCGTTGCCAAAACGGAGCCAGAATTTTAATATGTTTTACACAGTTGGGGGTGGGAGGGGATTAGATGAAGGAGGCTTGAAAGCAGTCCTCGGTTACTTTGGGATTTCAAGGGGTCTTGATCTCCATTTGCTCATCAGAACCTGAGGGATCAAAAGGCGGCAGGGAAACAAAAAAAAAAACGATCCCATTGGAGGATAGACATCGTTTCTCTGTCTCTTTCTCACTCTGCTACCGGACTGCGTCTCCTATCTTTGGAACAAACCATGTGATACAAACAAAGACTGGCTGAAAAGTGACGGGTCAGCCCTGCTAATGCCCTATTGGAAGCACCTGTAACACGGCCCTGATACTCCGGACTGACCGGCAAGCTCTAACTTAGACTCAAGTTATGGTTGTTGTTTTTGAAGTGAATGAATTTTGCAAAAGATCCCGATTCGCTCGATCGGATACTCACACGGTACATGTGTGATTATGCAGGACAACATATTCTCTTGTACTTGATATGTAAGTATGATGCGCTGTTTCTGTGTGCACTCCGTGCCCCGTGTCTGGCAAACGATCCGTTCGCAACGGTACTGCTGAAGTGAAACATCAACCACTGCCTCTGCGCTGAAGGAGATTAGAAGAGATTAGGACGGCCGATCAACCAGGGAGACGGTTTAATGAGTCTAATGCACTCTGTGTACAGTCTTCACAGTCTGAACCCTGATAATCTCTGATTGTGCGCCACCATAGTTCACCGTTCCGCTAAACATCAGGCGCGTGGGATATTAAAGTAAATCTCACCACACCGAGGAAAAAGCAGGTTTGATGGCAGAGTCGTTTCTCCTTGAACACAAAATAGAACACCAATTGAGAAAAACCTCATTTACTTCACTTAACTTCAAGTCAAGACTGCTCATCCTAAACCTTCCTGGGGATTAAGGAGTCAATGACGTGTTCAAATGTGTTCTTCTGAAATCTATTTGATTTGTATTTGACAAAATATGTTGTGAGATAGATACGGGTTTGTGTGCTATTCGCGATCCAGCTGATGTGTACTCCAGAGGAGAATATGAACCAACTGTCACTGTGTCTTTTTTCTCCGCAGGACGGAATGGGCAACCTGAGAATAACAGAGAAGGGCCTGAAACTGGAAGGGGACTCTGAGTTCCTCCAACCCCTCTATGCCAAAGAAATCCAGTCCAAACCAGTAAGTCACTCACAGAAAGAAACCCACCCACATTTTTCATTTTTTGTGCCGTGCGAAGGCTAAGCTACGAGGCTCGGCTGACACCTATGGGACTCAACGGCACGGACAACGTTCACGTGTTCACATATAAACACAAAACCGCCTGTGTTGCCTCAACGGAAGAAGTCCAATTGGGTAAATGACGGCACAGCCTGTGTGCAGAGATGGTGTGAGGACATGGGTGTCTAATGTGTGCATTCGAGACCCGGGAGCTTCCATCGCCGTGGAAACAGCATGTGAGACAGTCCTGTTGGGACTGATACTGGAAGCAGAAAACTACAAGTGTCCCCTCGCCGCCCGCATTTACAACCCGTATTGAGTTCATTGATTTGTGTCTAAATGTGGCTTTAACAAACAGGGAGACAAGGACAGGCACCACACTAGATGTTCTCCCAAAGGTTCCTCAAAGCCTTCGTCCCCGCTTTCGCTATGAAATCTTGTTTACGGTATCAGCCGAAGGACACGGCGAGATCTGCCATGTGACCTGTCATGTTTCGGCGGGGATGTGGCGTGATGCTCATGCCCAGCGGAGACAGGACGAGGTGATTCAAGACATAACGAGTCCTCTCATGACTTAAATAGACCGTTAATAAGGTAACTACACGGATAACGGAATGTTTCACCCCATAATAAGAGAAGTTATGTCATGTACCCCCATGTCACGTATCACCATAAGACACATCATGAAAAGCCTCATCCATGCTGTCCTCGTTGCAACTGCAAGAAGAGAATCTGGGACAGGAGATGTCAGAGACATGGACAGATGTGGCAGATAAGGTGATGTGCACTCTCTCCGTGTCTCTTAACAGTCGTGTGCGCGTGGTGGACGGATGTCTTGATAATGCAAGAGAGCGGCTTCATCACGGCTGTCTAGGACCTCACCGCACATTGAGAGGGAGGATGAGCGATGGAGCACAATGCAGAGAGGTAGCAGAGGAGAGCCGAGTGAAGACGGGGGAGGAGAGGAGGTGGTAATGGAGACAGAAGCAGGGTGACGGATGGACGAGGGCTGAATTGGAAGCTATGGAAAGCCACGCCGCGGATATTTTGACAGGCAGCGGCGCGCGGGAGAAGCGGCCTAGTTCAACAGCGACTCAAACAAGCACAACATGCTCGCGGCGCGAGGCCATCGGCAGGTAAAATATTCATATTGAATTAAAGCGCCGACTTCAGCCGGCAGCACGAGAAGCAGCTTTGAATGTCTGCAGATTTCCAGCAAATCAAATCGTAGCTCTTCTTCTGTGGAACCAGGACAGACGCCACAGTCCGGCTAACGCAGCGGCGGCGCGATGCTTTCCAGAAACAGACACGGTGGTTTTAGTCATTTCAAGCTGACATAAACTCCGCCGGTGGCGACTCGCAGGGCGCTTTTTGTTGGAGACAAAGCTATTTCTGGACGCCTCGCAAGGTGTGTTTCTGTGCGGTTTTACTCGCTCCCCTCTCGTAACACGGCTCCATCCAGCTGCCTCGCACGGCAACATGCACACTGCTGTTTTAAATTAGGCTTTGGCTACAAATACTGGATGGCCATACTACCAGTAGGGATGAGAGCGGATTGAACAGAGGAGACCCTGGATTAAGGTACTGTAGCTTAACAAGAGGACAGTGAGAGGAATATTAATACCAAGGAGGAGGTGAAAACAAAACGCAACAGTTGTGCTGTTTATTTATTTATGAAACCTCTGATAATATGATTGCAGTTTTTTCTCAATGCATAGCTCAATACATCCTGCACAGTCTCTTCTCTGTTTAGTCTTCTAACCAAGTCTGTTTTCATTTGCCCTCTTTCTTCTTCCTATTTTAACTTTGTTCAGGTCAGACTTTGCGCACTAAAATCACAAAGCAAATGGAAACAAACCTTTTTTCAGTGATGTTAACTAAACTAAAGTTCATTAGAAAATAATGTGAGGATCAGCTTCCACCCGGATTCAGTTGGTCTGCGCACGTGAACAGACAAACCATGTGCTGAATGTTTCAGTCAGTATTGGTGCTTTTGCATCATTGTGTTTTTTAACTAAATGCATGTAGAACGTTGAGCTTTTCTTACAACAACAGTTGGGGGTTGGATTTTGAAATATGGAGGAAACATTGTGCTTTTGAACGCTGCACAAAGAACTCTCAGTATAGAAGTTTGAACACAACCAGCGTACTACTGAATAAGAACAGAACAAGATCAACTGGGCTTCATCTCCACTTTAAAAGGCCAAGTACGTTTTAGTCACACACACCTCAACCTTGAAATACAAAGTTGGACGATACTCCGATACTATTTTGCCACCTGGTTGGTTTTACATTCAGGTCTCACCGCTTAGCTGTTGTCCTGCTGTCTCGCTCACTCTCCATACATTCAGTGTATTTACTGTGAGAACTTCAATAACTTTGGCGAGAGTTCTAATGTTATCAGTATTAAACACACCAGGCGGTTCCCCTCCTGGGCCGCGAGCGCAGCACAACGGTCCGGCCGTTATCTCTAATTAGGAAGTTGAGCGAGGCGTGAAGATTAGTCGGTGCGCAGAGAGAGAGCCAAGTGTCCGACGTGATCGGCATTACGGCCTGCTGCAGTGCACTCTGGGAAATGGAAGTTATGGTGTGAACTTCACACTCAAATGGTCAAAGTTTCTAATGGGTCACAAACAAAGTACGGACCCGTTTGGTTGATTGTGTCCAAATAAAGAAAAAAACTGTGAGGTCTTTTTTTTTTCACACTTTTCCCTGAAAAATACACGAATCATTTAATAACCTTTGCACCACAAACTAAATGAATAAAGACGTCCGTTATTGTTGCAGGGCCGCCCGCTGTTCCTGCAGTCGTCCAAAAACATCTCGGTCAACATCGTCAACAGCAACAACCAGCTGCTCACGCAACTTGTAACAGGTGAGGCGCAGCGTGCTTTCATGCCGTTTTATTGATGTTTTCTTTTTGATGTCAGACCTATTTTCATCGTTCAAAGACCCGACAATGGTGACGACATCGGCTGCAACAGACGCCGGTCCGGACTCGCCGGTCAGGAGCCACGGCCTCATTCTGAATTTAACAATTGGATCAGTTCTTCCTCTGATAACCTTAACTGTGGCAGTAGAGGCCTCAGTTGCCCCCCCTCACACTACCGTGTGATTACCCCCCTCGTGTATGCGGAGGAACTTCTCGCCCCAGATGGAGAGCGGCAGAATCAATTGTGCGCGCGTCAATCAGTCACCGCCAGCGGCGAGTGCTTTCTGCCGCCGCGTGAGATGAAGCCGTTTGAGTTGGAGGGAGTCGTCTGCGTTTCCTGTCGGTTGTGGCACCAGTTACAGTTTTGGCAGCCTGGAACTACAACATGTATTTTTTTCAAAGGTTCCTGAAATGTCGTCGTGGAAATCTCTCTCAGCAGCAGGTCAAATCTGTTTCGAAATATTTCCTCCAAATTCTTCGTTCTATATGTTTTTGTTACAAAAGTTTTCGTAGATTCAGAAGTGCTGACCTGACATACTTCAGTTCTTATCTGTTGAATTCCAAAGTTTCAATTGATCAAATGAAAGCAGGTATGCAAATATCCTGACATTTTGTAAAAGGTTGACCAATCAGCCGGCATAACGCTGATCTGGTTGATAAAAATCCCATAAGTCAATCGATCCGTTCTTGCAATTATTGGGACCTCGATATCTGAAGAACGCCTTGTAGAAGTTTATTCCACCTTTTCTTTGCTTACGTCAGCAAGTCCCACGGGACAACTCGAATATCCTCCACCATTTTAAATGATGATTCAGCAAAAAAAATTCTCTTTTTGTCGGTCTTTGCTTCAGGATCCAGTGGATTTAAAGCACGAGGCAAGATGTTTGAAGTCAAGTCCACCTCCGGGAAGCTCCTGTTCTCCGCCGACGAGCAGGAGGTCGTGGTGGGCGCCGAGAGGCTGCGGGTGATGGGTGAGTTGCCATTTATCTCTTTCATTGAATCTGTTTCGTCGGCCCTGTTTGTTTCTCGTTGCTGGTTGATTGGTACCGTTTGTAAAAGTGGGAGGAGCCAAAGGTTGAAGCGTAGAAGCACCGACCGAGCTGCGATATTTAACGTGTTGGTCTCAGAGCAGTGAGATCGAACAGCTTGATTATGTTTGCTTGAGATAGAAAATGAAATCTCAGTGAGCAGAAAGACGTTTCCATGGCGGGACAGGGAGGAGAAGTGGACATTGGACATATGAGCTCATATTTGCCAAACCTGAAGGTATCACACAAATCTGCTGTGACTTCAGGGGCCAGCTGCACCGTCAACGTGGGCATTGTGATGCTCGATTACCTGTGAGAGCATAGAGGCGTAATAATGGACGAAATGAGTCGACTAAGAAAGCAAACTGCACGCAGGGAGGCATCTTGTGTGTGAATCCATCGTTTTTAACACTCAATAATCCCAACGTCTCTGCAATATTTTTTAGGTGCAACTCCTGCGCATTCTGAACCGAGTGTCTCGCCCAAAAGTGAATATAAGAGTTTAACAACGATTTCATGAATTCAGAATGTTTTCTGTAGCAGCCCGACGATGAAAAGATTTTGTCATTCATATAATTCACTTTGATGGAATACCAGGGAGCTAGAAGACACAAAGGGAAACACAAGGGAGAGACAGGGACCCGGCGTGACATTTATAGTAGCTAAATATATTTACTCTGTGAATAAATGTGTTTGCAGCGAGCGATCCTAGAAAATATGAACCTGAAATGTATTTCAATGCGCCTCAACAACCGGCCTCCAAACACCAAACAACTACCATGAAAGACTGCTTTTACATATTTAAAACTGTATTAATTAGTTTTAAAGAAAGCAGCCTCCCACGCTGAGGACATCAAATCATGGTTTATTTCTCATACTTTGTACACTCACCAGCAAGATAATTGGGAGATAACTTAAATAACTTTCAGAGGGATTAGGGAATCTTCTGGGTGTTGAGTCACACACACACAGACAGACGCATGTTTTTGTTGTGATGTCTTTAATTCTCCCTTCGTCCTCACTCTTAATTCCTTTGATTTCTTCCTTTCCTCACTCCTACTTAAAAAAAGACTATTTTCTCCCCCCCGGTTTGCTCTCTAGCACCGTTCCCCATTAAGCTTCCATCTGCCATCCGTCAGCGGCACTCATCCATCCGCCCACCCGTTCATCACTCCAGCCATTCAATCTCATTAATAGATAAACAGATATTTGAAGTGTCTCCCTCTTGACTGGGCCGTGCATTCCCACTCAAGGGCTCCTATGGGTGCTCTCCCTCTCGCTCTGTCTCACACGCGTGCAAAACACGCAGCCCTCATCGCGAGCAATTACTCCTCGTCCTCATCTACATTCATTCACGTCCTCTCTGGCCTCCCCGAGTCAGAGTTCGTTACTGTCACCCACCCCGGCAAAGTGCTCCTCTTAACAGAGGGAGACACAGATGGAGGTCGGGGACGGACGAGTGAGGACAGGTAGGGGGGGGGGTTTAACAGAAGGGACTTGTTTTTGACGCAGTTTTTCTTTCAAAGTCAAATCTACTGGAATAAAGTTTCAAACAGACGTCAGTAAACACGATACGCCGGGGTTGACTGAATCCACGGCTGCGATCCGTGTGATGATCATGCAATCATCATGGAATAGTTCTTTTAGAAGGCTTATGGCTGCAGAATTCATTCGTTTCATTTTTTGAATATCTCACTTACCCATTATTGCCAACTATTCCTCGACGTTGCAACAATAAAAGAGATATTTCTGGGAATGATTGAAGCGCCCTCTCACCAACGTGCCGCTAAGTCACCTCTTTCACAGACATTTATGCCAGTTCAATAAAGACGAGCCCTGCCCTCCGATTGGCTAGTCCTCGTCCAATAAGTTCTCACTCCCAAAGAGTCAAATTCTGATGTTTGAGGAGCTCAAGAGGTTTTCAGAAAATATGGCTATTGAGTTGGGCGGTAGCGCTAAGAATCCCTTTTGAGCAGGTGTTGGGAGGGAGTCGGGGGAGGGCAAATAGTGCCAATGATTTGCCAATTACTCCATTTATCTCCACAGCCGCCTGAAGGCTGCGGGCTAATCAAACACAACCGCTGCCTCAGCAGAAAGAGACGTCGCCTCGAGTTCCCAACGGGCGACTCGTGAGTGTGCACTCAGGGCTCTGATTGTTGCGTTATATTGTGTCTTTGTTTCGGGAACGATGGCAATTGTCTAATTTCTAAATTACTGCTGTAGTCCTTTAATTCAAAGGTTTGTTTTAATACATGCGCTTTTCTTTTTTGATCTCAAGCGTCTTAACCTTGTTCTTAAAAGCAATCGATTGGACAGACATTCATAATTGGCTCATTTATAAACTACATTTTAGTGTGTCTTTTAGCATTTGATAAAGCAGTATAGTCTTACCAAACATTTAGTGTCATTTATGAATTCTCCCCCCATATTGGACTCTACAGATATGAATTGGCCAGCTCTCAGAATGCTTGTGTCTGCAGTAGGGATATATTTGTAGTAGGCATTGATATGTGACGTGATCCTGTCCATCACACAGGAGTAAATAGCAGCTGTGAGTGGGCCGATAAGGCCTTCGGACAAGCTGTTCTTCAATCCCTTAGACGATGAAGAGACTATTGAGGCTTATAAAGCTGCCGCGTATCAATCCCAAGGCCATCCTTCCACATCAATAAAATGCATAATTATAGCCATGCATACATATTTAACTGGCCAGGCTGAGGTTATTGGAATTCCATGATACTGCTCTCATTGGCTTCATTATGGCAGCTGCTTCTTCTTCTGTTTACGGTCCAATCAGACACAGTGACCGGCTCCCAGCAGACAGGCAGCGAATGAGAACACAATCAGGGGGATTAATATGATATAGTTAAAGTACTTTTTTATCGTTTGTTTTAACTACGATGTGACTCGGATAATTACCGAATCGTTAAATTGAGTTGAGTGTCTTCTTTTTAAATAACAGCTTCTTTAGGACCAGAAATGATTGAACGAGTTGATCTTTCAGAAACATGTATCATAAGCAGTGCCATCGCAGCCCTTCAGAGGGACTGAGGTCATCAGTTCATTATTTGTCCCACGAGCAGCCGACTGGACGGATAAATACAGGATTCAGCTTAATAACGTGAAGACTGGACGAGGCCAGAGGCGTTTAAATCGTCCCGGGCTGAGAGCCCAGAGGGAGAAACCCAGGAGTCCCCTCAGGATAAGAGTCGTGTAACCGCCTTTAGTTACGGCCAGCTGGAGGAAGGACTAATGTCATGTGTGGGGTCCGGCCTTATTATCTCACCACCACTAAAACTAAATCCACCAAAAATAAACCCATTTCAACAAAAAACTCACTGAAATAAAGTCTGCTCTGTAATCCCAGGCTTTAAACTCTGCATCACATACTCGCACCAGCGTTCTGATTTACACTAGTTACTCGTGAAAAGGACTCATGTAAGTGACTTGTGTAAATGACCCGTGTAAAGGACTCGTGTAAATTACCTGTGTAAAGGACTTGTGTAAATTACCTGTGTAAAGGACTTGTGTAAATTACTCGTCTAAATGACCCGTGTAAATGACCCGTGTAAATGACTCGTGTAAATGACCTGTGTAAATGACTCGTCTAAATGACCTGTGTAAATGACCTGTGTAAAGGACTCGTGTAAATGACTCGTGTAAATGACTCGTGTAAATGACCTGTGTAAATGACTCGTGTAAATGACTCGTCTAAATGACCTGTGTAAATTACTCGTGTAAATGACCCGTGTAAATGACTCGGTGTAAATGACTCGTGTAAAATGACTTCGTGTAAATGACCTGGTGTAAATGACTCGGTGTAAATGACTCGTCTAAATGACCTGGTGTAAATGACTCGTGTAAATGACTCAGGGTAAAGTGACTCGTGTAAATGACCTCGTCTAAATGACCTGTGTAAATGACTCGTGTGAAGGACTCGTGTAAATGACCTGTGTAAAGGACTCAGGTAAGTGCCCTGTGTAAATGACTCGTGTAAATGACTCGTGTAAATGACTCGTGTAAATTACCCTGTGTAAATGACTCGTGTAAATGACTCGTGTAAATACTTGTGTAAATGACTCGTGTAAATGACTCGTCTAAATGACTCAGGTAAGTGACTCGTGTAAATGACCTGTGTAAATGACTCGTGTAAATGACTCGTGTAAATTACCTGTGTAAATGACTCGTGTAAATGACTCGTCTAAATGACCTGTGTAAATGACTCGTGTAAATGACTCAAGTAAGTGACTCGTGTAAATGACTCGTCTAAGTGACCTGTGTAAATGACTCGTGTAAATGACCCGCGTAAAGGACTCGTGTAAATGACTCAGGTAAGTGACTCGTGTAAATGACTCGTGTAAAGGACTTGAATGTAATTCAAAGACACGGGTCAGAGATGTGTCCGTCTGACCAACTGAAGCAGAGAGAGTAATTACAAACCTTTTGGAAAGAAACTAATTGGCCTGAGATGGTGACGGTAAATTGGGTCTGGGGTCAAAGTGCGTTTGTGCGAGTGAGTTCATGTAAATCGTCTGTGTTTGGAAGGTCCGTCACTTCCCGCCTCTTATTGTTTGCTGTGTGTCAAATGTGTTTTCATACTCACTGTTTCTTTCCTTCCCACGTACACCGTGCATTGCCTTTAAAGAAGAATCACGAGCCCAGCGACATGATGACATCACCTACTGATGGTGTTTTGCTCGTCTTCTAGTGTCCCAGCCTACGATCCGTGTTATCAGCAGTGAGGCTGCACTCACTGAGTAATTACCACTCTGCATTATGGTCCTCGGCCTCTTTCATATTCTGTGCAGACTAAACAAGGGATGGCTGGATGATTACAGAAAAGCTTTGTGAGGGAAAGAAAAGCAATGCGTAGCGTCGTGCTGCATCTCGGCTGGTAGTTTACGATGAGTCAGACAGCTCTTTGGGGAAAATGGGGGTCAATA